GCAAAGAAGAAAGTATTTCGAGCGCACGAAAATCTATTTTGCATTTAAAATAAGTTTTTGGGTATGTGCTGACCTTCTCTTTTGCGCGTGCAATGTTTCACTAGTTTGCTCGCCTGATGCCCTCAGTGCGCTCTAAATGCCAGCAGCTGGCGTGCTCAACACAACCCAGTGTTACAATATGCCATAATTCCAGCCAATCAGAGACGAGGCTGCTAAATTCTGATTGGCTGCCTTGACAACCAATCACAACATTCCTTGCATTACCACGACAGCAGAAGAGGAAAAATACAGTGCATGCATAACTATTATGCAAGTTGATATTCTGATCTTATTTTTTTCCAAGCACATTTTACCAATTCCAGACGACATCAATCTTAATAACTACTATTAATCTTGTATTTAATCATTTATAATTGATATATAATTATTCATGAAGGCTGGAAGTGAAAAATGTCTCATATTCAGGTGTGCATAATTATTAAGCAGATTTTCTTTTACGCTTGTGTTGAGCAAGCAAGCTATTTAGCGAGCAATGAGGGCATCAGGTGAGCAAGCTAGTGAAACGTTACACGCGCAAAACAGAAGTTCAGCACACATCCAAAAACTTATTTTAAATGCAAAATTGATTTTCGTGCGCTCGAAATACTTTTTTCTTTGCGAAACTAATATTTTCTCTACAAAACTCAGTTCGCGCACGTGCAAAATGCACTTTTGTGCGCTCAAAATATGATCTTTCATGCGCAGAATTGTGGCAGAGATATAAGCCTATACACGTGACACCGCGTAAACGCGCGGACAGCATTCACTGATTTACACAAAGAACGCCATACATAGAGCTCATAATTCAACATTTATTCAACAAACAACATTTTCCGTTTAGTTAAACGCAGTCGCGCTGGATTACCTGAGGGCGGAGTTACACTGCTGAACAGCCAATCGCAGCACAGATTGACACATGACAGGTGGCTTTGACGTCGTTTGTTTACGGCTGAGCTGAAACTGAAGCGCATTAATGCACGTGTTTACACTAAATTCATCGATAAAAGCAGTGATTTCATGTGAATGTGATACTAACCACCAATACAGTTCTCACATTTAAAACCTTATATTTAATATTTTATGATGATATGTGTATGTTACAGTACTATTGTTGTCAAGCGATTAATCAATTCCAAAATAAAGGTTTTTGTTTACATGTGTGTACTGTGTATATTTATTATGTATATGTAAATACACACATTTAGTTTATATTTTCAAAAAATATTTACATGTATATATTTATATTCATAAAATTTATATTGTATATAGATATATAAAATATTTTTCTTAAATATATACATGCATGTGTGTGTGTAGTTATATATACATAATAAATATACAGTACACATATTTTGTAAACAAAAACTTTTATTTTGGATACGATTAATCATGATTAATCGTTTGACGGCACTACACTAAATATACAATTCATCGATAAAAGCAGTGATTTCATAACTGCCTATACAGTTCACACATTTAAAAGCTTTTATTTCATATTTTATTATGATAGAGAGTTTTTAACAGACAATGATATGTGTATGTTTACACAGGTTACAGTAAGAACATTTGGAGGAAGAGAACATATATCTGTATTGGTGCTTTGGCAACATTATGTGTAAAACAATCATGCCAATCATGATCAAACAAATCAACAATCATGACTCAAACGACGCTTGATTTTGTGGAGAAGCTGTATGAACACAAACTCTGTACATATAGACTGTACGTGTGCGGTGCGCTGACAGAAGTCTATTTAGCAGCTGTGGTTTCCTCCAGTGTCTGCAGCAGAAGGTCGTGGAGAGGTTTGCTGAGGGTTTGATATCCAGCCGCTGTCAGATGCAGGAAGTCAAACATGTCATGTTTTGAGATGCTTCCGTCTGATTGGACGAACTCAGCGCTGACGTCCAGAAACTGAGCCGGGCCGAGCCGCGGTACAGACGAGCGCAATAACTCATTCACCGCCGCATTCTTCTCACGCATCGGGTTCTGATGCTCTCCACGAGGAAGAAGACCCTGAGAACGACACACAGAGACTCTGAGTGTGTGTGTGTGTGTGAGAGAGAGTGTGTGTGTGAGTGTGTGT